AAGTGGCTGTGTTCATAACTGCTGCCAAGGACTTCGTAGGAAATAGCTTCAATTCAGCTCGGATGTCCCTTTTCAAACCCTTCCTGAAGATTCCCTTAAGAACTTCTTCCGTGAGGTGTTTTTGAAACCCTATAGCAGTTTCAAATTGATCTCTGTACTCTTGCACAGTTCCCTTCTGCTTTAAACTGAGGAGAGGTCCCAACGGATCCTCCACCATATCTGGTTGAAAGCGCTGAGCTAACGCTTTGGTGAAAGTAGTCCAATTCTGTCGTTGACCTTGCCCTTCCCACCATTGGAACCAACTAAGCGATTGATCCTCCATGGCCACCACAGCAACATCGATTTTATCTTCTTCTTCGATTTGATTCAGCCGAAAGTATCGATTCATCCGCACAAGCCAACCGAAAACATCCTTGCCATTAAAAAGGGGGAGATCGATTTTCCTTCCCACCGGATGAGGTTTCCTGCGATCCCGATGCGACTGGTGTTCGCTATTGGCGTCGGAATGATCGGATTGGTATTCCGACTCACTCGAACTATCTCCTCTCTTCTTATGTTTGTAATGCGAGCTGTGGTGAGAAGATGTCGATCGGTGCGATCTACTCCGCGATCTCTCCTTGTTCTGATTCTTCAATTCATCGATTCCCGCTTGCATCCTCAATAACAATTCTTCATATCTCGCGCTAGATTCATCGAGCTTTTTCTCGATCGCAGCCACACGTTCGTCCATTTTTCTTCTCGTGCTTACCATTCACAGGACCGAATGGCTCTGATACCAATGATAAGTACCTAGCACAATTCACAGATCACAATATACAATCCAGTAATCCACACACGATCACTAATAATTCAAGCAAGAAATTAAGAGAACAATCCACTATCTTATTCCCCAAGAAAACTCAGTACAGAGGTACACCGTATACAAGCCAAAAGGAGATAATACTCCTGAGTCCCAGTCCCAAGTCAAAATTGACAAAATAGCCTGCCAACCTACTGCAGGATCAATTATTTATACTCCTCCCTAACGGAAGGGCGGTTATTAGTTACTTAACAACTTCAACTAATAACCGGGTGGACTATTTAAGCCTTCTCCTATACACCTGCCCATATCTACTTCCTTTATTTAGACTAACACCCACATCCCTATCACATGCATGCTATACAAGCCAATATTGGACAGAGCAATTATTATATCAAATACATGAATATTTAATTAAATAATTAAAGTGGCTTAGACACTATATAAGACTCCCTAACATAAGAAGATGGTAGGACTAAAGAGAAGAGAATGTGGAGGAAGAAAAGAAAGTAGAATGAGAGAGACGTGAGGCAGAAATGAGAGGAAGAGAGGAATTGAAGGAAATATAATGGAAGAAAAATAGGGGAAAACTAAGGGAAAATAAGGAGAAAATCTTGCTACCTGTTTAAGGTTTGTCTTCGTTCCTTCTCCTAAAGTATATATTTAATTATATTCTAACAGATTATTTTTATGCTTGTTATCTTCTTAATTGTACTGTTTAATGATATCATGGTGTTTTTATTATGATATTTCTTATTTTCTTATTCCTTATGCTTTATTAAGATGTTGATCTAAAATGTTGATTTATACCCTTTTATATGTGACATACTCTTTAATTTGTATTATGTCATGCGTTCATCAAAATAAGATCGACTTTAAAACTTTTATATGCATAGTGATACAGTACAATTTTTAATAAAAGTAGCTTAGATAAGGAAAATAAGTTTTACAGTGATGATCAACTACGATCATTATAAAAGTAAATAAAATACGAAATTTATTGTTATTATACATTTATATTATGAGAAAATTGGTTGTATGTACACATTTTAATATGTAATTTTAAGTTAATATCATGAGTTAGTAAAAATAAGTTAAATAGCCGTTAAGGAAACACACGATAAAAGTATGCCCCATATAACCTTATGACAGTTTTGTACTCTCTAACTATCCCGCTAACTCCGTACCTTCCACAAAAGTTCTCACGACACCTCTATGGAGAAGACACTATTCACTTGTAGTTCTCAATCATTTTGATGTAATAGAAACAATTCGAGTTAATCATATTTGCTCTCAGACTCAAATGGATACTGAAATTTGGAGTGGATGTGCTTTAATATTGGACTTTAATATCTGGGGGTTACACACTTCCATAATTCCATTATTATCATAAATACAAAAAAGACATAAAACAAAAAATAGTGTTCTTTGAAAAAGGTTCTTGACATTCTGGCAATATAAGTGGAGTAAATACTTATTAGTGCTTTGTGAAAAAAAATTACACATCCTTCTTTCGGAATCCAGGGTAGCAAAGGAGACTAGGTTTTTTCTACGTTATTCTCCCAATGTGAATATAACCATGACGAAAACAAAATTAATCTGCAATATAAAGTTAATATGCTCTCCGTTTTCGTATCTGGCCGGTTGTAACTTGTAACCAACTGTAATTAAGGTTGAGGATAAATACAGTATTTATATGTTTACTGATTTTATATTAGTAAAAAAAGCGTTATATACTTCATTAAATAAAATAGATGCTACTAACTTCACGTGACCTATTTTTTATGGTTATGTAGCCATTTTTCCCTTATATTATTTAATGTAGAATTCGATTATATATATTTATATTAATTAATGTAGAAATCAAAGCACGTTATTGTATTATAATTACGAAAGAATTGGAAATAATTGATGATACATAGTTAAATTCAAAACAAACATACGTAAGATTATAGATTCAAGATTTAAATATAGAATATAATAAGGTGAACTCAGATTTATTTTATGACTATAATTTTTTATGCATACGTATAGATAGTTAATTCGGATTATTTCGCTAAAGATTAAAGTGAGACTTATAATAAAGTCAATTCAGTAGAAAAAAATAAGTATTACGTACACTTACACAGAGAATAATTCAGGTCCGGCCAGGCCGGACCACTGCCCCCGTCCGGCCTCCTCCATTTGGGGGCCTTCCCGATGGTATTTTTTGCTCAAATTTTTTGTGTAGGTTCCTCATCAAGTCTAGTTCATCCATACCAAATTTCAGCCAAAAATTCAATCGGGAAGGTCGTCAAATGATTTTTGCAAGTTAACTGGTCCGGAATATGTATTTTCCGGACCAGTTAACTTGCAAAAATCATTTGACGACCTTCCCGATTGAATTTTTGGCTGAAATTTGGTATGGATGAACTAGACTTGATGAGGAACCTACACAAAAAATTTGAGCAAAAAATACCATCGGGAAGGCCCCCAAATGGAGGAGGCCGGACGGGGCTCCGGTCAGGTATACCTGACCGGAAGACTACTCCACTTACACAAATCCATGATATACATATAGAGACTAGTTTTCCGGCGCGCGATGCGCGAGAGGAAAATGCCCAATGCTAATTTGGTAGAAGTATACGTGATTAGTATAATTAATTTGTTTGTAATTCATTATGCAACACAGCGGTATTGACGTGCGCAACAAATTAAACTATTACTCCAAAGTCAAAACAAATAAGTTAATGTTAAAATAACATAACATCACATATGGTATAAACTGATGTCATGTATTGTTGTATTCCATCCATCCAAAGTCCAAACACATGTGCCCTTCTTTAAAAAAGTATTAAATTATGAGCAAAACGGTCTATTTCAACAACAAAAATATTTATTTAGAAAAAGGATGAGACTCCATCCCCGAGGGCCCCCCAACACTGACCGGGCGGCACGATCAGAGGATGTAAATTGGACTATAATCACAACCTGACAGATAGAGAGTGGTGCTTTGTCCCGGTACTTGCAGAGGCCCTATGCATTTTTTAGCATAGTAACCTCTCATCGCAGTTGTCAGGATTCGAACCCGGGACCTAACCCTTGTGGCACTTCTTCGCTACCAGTTCAGCTACGCCCACCGGTAATATTTATTTAGAAAGTGTCCCAAACAACTTATTTTTGTGGTATCTATAAAAAAGGATTATTTATTCTGTCAATGGTAGTAATGTGGTAAAATAAGAAATAGGCTGGAGACTTAATAAATGAACCTTATCTTCTACCATGTGTTTAGAAAATTAAAACCCCCAACCGCACGATACTTGATAAATTGTCTGTGATGGCATGAAATTGTAATCGAAATTCCGTAGTAATTAATACTACTATGGAGTAAAATTTTAAAACTTCAATTAGTTACTTAAAATTTTAAATTGTTTTCTCACACTTAAAATATGTAGCAATATATGGTTTTAGTATGAATATCGTTTCCACAGGGATGAGAAAATGGAATTAGGTATGAAATAATTTCAGCAATTAAAATAAATAAATAAAGAGCGATTTGTGCGAGCTTGATTTTTGGAATTAAAATTGCGACTAAAATAAGGTTGAGAAAATGGTTCTTTTGAATAGATGAAAAGAAGAAAACAATAATTGATTCGTGGGGCAATCAGATTTTGGGGCTGATCAGGGTGGGCTGATCATTCTTTCTTTTTAATATCTCTCGGAAAGGTTCAAAAGTGACTTTTCCTCTAAATCTGTAATATTATTAACCTAAATTCATAACACAGAGCATACTTGTCTTTGGGATGACTTCTCCCCCGTCCCATACCAAATACCTTTTTAAACACAAAAAAAAAAACAAAATCTGTACACAAGCAATATAAAAATGTATTACCTCTGTCCCCCAAATATTGGGGACAGAAAAGAGTGGTGTGATTTTTAAGAAAATTAGAATTACGTGGTTGATAATGAGTTGATAAAGTGGGGATAAAATAAGAATAAATTAGAGTCACACAAATGTTACCAAATATGGTATGAGACCATAATAGGGGACATTCAAAAATGAATAAATGGGACAATTATAGGGGGACGCCGGGACGGAGGGAGTACTACGTAATAGATAAAGTTTAGTTAGGAAATATGACACCCAAATCTTGCATAGACACCAAAAGTGCAAAGTTAACTTTTTTTTTTTTTGGGATTTAAATGCACACAAATGTAGTATAGCGGATGCAGTTCATATACAACTCTTACAAATATCCTGTTATAAATATAGTTACAGTAATGAACACCGAAATAAAGTGAGTTTTTTTTAATTCCTTCTCAAATCTCATTGAAAGTCCCAATATGCTCTTAAAGAATTAAGAAGGCGGGTTATAAAAAGAATCAACTTTTTTATGTGACAGACTGAACAACACTTTGAATAATTTGTAGCAAATGCCAAGAGCAAATTTTATCTAAAACCATGTCATCAATTCCAGGCGTCTTTCCAAATATCAATATTTATAAATTGTGATGAAGCTGTAGAGGATCACAACAACCCTGCTTCAAGCAAGTTTCTTCTTCTCAAAGTCTCATCTACCAATTTGAAAGTCTTCTTTACAAGCCTTTGGTCAAGGGCACATAACTTTGATTCATAAAATTATTGTTATTAGTTCATCATCTGTAGATCTACCTAAAATAGGTCACATAACTTAGCTCAAAAAATCATAAACGAACTACTTCTGTAAGTAGCAAGCAGCTAGCAACTGCATATTTTCTGAATTTGGCAAAACATATATGGTAAAAATGAATATAAGTTCTATAAGCTGCTTAAAATAGAATAAGTTCATTATATGTTATGAACACCTGCAATATGAAATTTTTCTAAAGTGAGTTTGTCATGCAAATTAGAAGTACATGCATACCAAAAGAGTACCCCTACAGTGAGTTTGTCATGCCAATTATAAATGCAAATCTAACACAAAGCTTCTTTTTTAAAACCTCTCTTTTAGATGAAAAAGAAAACAATCTTGAAAAACTGGAACAAGACTGAAATGAAAGGAAAACACACTGGAAAAAGAAATGCATACCTTTACTTCAAATCCTAGAAGAAGAATGAGATTGTGGATGCCTCAATGCCTCATATTTAAACATAATGATGGCAGAAACAAGAAACATAAAGGCAACCGTGGCGAAAAAAGTCATGTTTACATCATTTTTTACATCTTAGAGTATTAATTGGTGGATTATTTAAAATATAAAAATAATTAATAATCTAGCATAAATGTTTATATATTCTCAAAAGAAAATACAAACATTTTTAGATATGTAGCATAAAACACATAATTAATAACAAACTATGAAAAATTCATTTCTTACCATGGGGTTTGAATTTGAAAAACATGGAAGTTCAGAAAACTTGAATCCAAATAAAGAGATCCTCGATACCTGATTCATACCCTCTCTTTTTCATACAAAGATATAATATACTCAAATTGGTTCTTAAACTTTATTAAGAATATGCAGATTAGGTATACGGATTTAGAGAATAGCTGAAAGCCTTAAACAAAGTGCACAGAGAGAATAGTAGGAACCTTAAACAAACTGCACAGCCGTATAGATACATTTGCAATGAACAATGAAAATGAATGGCTAAGGCAAATCAGATAAGTAAGAGAACTAAATGAACTGGATAAGAATGATAGAGTGGTAATGTCACAAAGCAAAAGAACTTATATATATGTATGTACTGGGCATATGGAGATGCAGAGAAGATTAAAGTTAATTAGCTTCAAGCAAGACGGTCAGTGATCTTACCGAAATGTCTTCTAGACTTAACCGGGTGGTATATAATGTGTTGATGTACTGAAGGCATTTGAGTTTAAAGAAAGAGGCTGACATAAATAATAAAGGGTGCAAAAACAGGGGCTAAGGTTCAATTAACGAACAAAGCAGTATGTTGGATGGGTACACAAAGCAAAGTGGAAGCCAATTCAACGGTATGGCTGCAATTCTTGCACCTTATGGTACAGCCTTATATTGCTTGGAGTTGCACCAAACAATTTTCATAACTAAAGTAGCCTCACTTTCATTCAATATTACAATATTGTTATATACTCCGTATATACATTCATTATTGTACCTCCCTGTAAAATGCATAAGAGTCCAGCTGATGTGATGAAGAATTGATGAGCCGTCAAGTAGTAAGCACAATTTAAAAAGTTTCACCATCTCATCAGGAAGTTTGGGAAGATCAAAATGAAATGAATAAGTAGTGTTGGTATAAATCGGCTTATCATGTCCATGACACTGCGTCACTGCCAATTAGAAAGAATAACAAATGATTAAAAAGAAAACATTTAGTGCCAAATCATTGCCAGAAGATAATTCAAATTATAAATTCATTCACTAATACAATCACGGTCGGAAGATAATACAAGGGAGGAGCATTACCTACCTGGAATTCTGTTCCATCCAGCGTCTTGAAAAGATTTATCATAAAAATTTGGAGGGACACTAAAAGGACCAGGAGCCAGGTAGAAATTCCAAAAGGACAGAGAAAGACCTGACAAAAGGAAAACCTTCAACCAGAGAGCAACACAATTAAAGGCCTTAAGAACAACATCATCGTCCCGAATAGACGAATCCGCCACATGAGCGTCCACTTTGTGGCGCTCACGCCGGTAATTGAGGGATCCTAAATCGGCCACACATTAACAAACGCTTAAGGTTTCTGCTCGCATATCAGATTAAATTTCCTACTTAAATGCAATATTTATTACTATGGAAAAACTGAAACATGTTCCTACCTCAGAGAAGACGAATAGGACGATGAAGGTGGATGTGTGCGGTCGGATTGGGTCCTGACTCCCCAGCGGCTAAGATGTGAAAGTCGAATGATATCCGTTCGACTGGGTAGACGCATGTGGGTTATACTAACGGGGATAAACTGTGTTTAGTTGTGCAGATGAGTAAGATTGGAATGAGGTACAAATACTTCAGCATTTAGTACATGTCAAGTAAGCTTACAATACCACCAACAAGTTTTTTTATACCCACAATACCCTAACTCTCATTCATGCTTATTAGTTTGTAGATAGATATATATGTAGTTGAAATGAAGTACGTACGTACAAGAGTGTATTTATGTACATAATAAACCCAATCTAAACATCAATATGTTATAAGTGATGATATAGTAAGTTGATTATAATGATATTGTTTTCATTCGGAAAACAATATTAATGATACAGAGTGAATTTAATGGGATAAATGGAATTCGAAACCTTGTTTCTCGAATCGGATAGATTGGCATGCCAATAGGGACAAAAACACGGCCGTAGAATTTGATCAATGATTTCAGGTCCGTAGTCACCGAGTGGACATCACCCAAATCTTGATATTTGATACACGCGCGCTCCTATATGGGTCCGTAGCCACCGAGTGGACAATACCCAAATATGTTCGTTTATGGGTCCGTAGCCACCGAGTGGACAGTACCCAAACGAACCCTAGTCAGAGCCACCGAGTGGTCAGTGCCAAAATAGTTCCACCGAGTGAACAGTACCAAAGATGAGAACGTCCCGTTTATCCAGTCCATTTAACTAAGGAGTAGAATTCCAAAAAATTAATAAAAGAAATGAAATGTGAAAACGGGCAAAACACAGATCACCGATGCCTAGATCCGCCACTGTGTATGTATGCTCATGCATGTTTCGAATCTTTAACTCGGTATGTTTTTGTATAGGGTTCTTTAATGCCTTAAAGGTGTTTGCAAAAATGTTTCATTGAGTTTTTAAGTTTTAAATTTTGCCCAACTCTAAATTCTTATTTATACATGTCATTTAAGGCTAAACAAGTTTATGTATGAGATTCTATAATTTCTGTATTTGGGAGTGCGTTTGATCATAGTAGTTAAATCCCAGCTTTTAGAGCTTGGAAGAAGCTAATATGTAACGTTGTGTCAGCTTAACGGTTTGATATATTTTCCAATGAGAAGAACATGCTTCACATTTCGAGTCTATCAAAGAATGTTATGAACTCTTGTAAGCTAGCATCATTCTTCTCTTTATTCCATCAACTATTTTATTTGTGATTATTATATTTGTTTATCCTTATTTTATTTAGTCACTTTTTTTCATTATACTTTACTACTAATTAACAAACAACTCTGTCCTCCTAAAACTCTAAAAGGCAAGTGATGGTCAAGGTATTTTATTTCATGTAAATGTATTTAAACATATCGATCCATAAGCAAACATATTGTGCCAAATGAGATTCAAGGAAGGGTGATTCAACGTTGTTTCTTAATGACCCTTTATTAGGTATACATATTAATTAGTTTGTTTCTGTATATAATTAATTTCATGTACATGTTCACTCCCTGCACATATAGATATTTAGGTAAGCATTATCATGCTAATTAGTACTTATAAAATAGGTGAGATTTCCATCATACTTACACATTTTTAAACCCAAAAATATGGAGCATGACACATTGACAGTTGACACACAGAACAGTTACCATATGACCCTCATTGATGTAGTCTTGTTTGCCCTTGTTTTCTGCAGAGATCATATCATCCTGGTTTCATCAACTCTAATAGATAGCAAGGTTGCCAATGCGCTAACCAATGCGAGAAATTATGGGAGGCCATTTACACCATTTAGCATACCCAGAAAATTTTATAAAGGAATCAAATCATCCTCCGAGTATAGTTGGTAAATCAACGAATTTTACAGCCAAATACATTGGTATAGGGCACACCCTTCGCTCTACGCGTTTTCTAAATATCTTTACCGGGGGGTGGACGTACGTAGAGCCTTAAGGAGTTAAGGGGGCCATGACCCCTCCCACCTTTTTTTTTAATACTACTATAAAAAATTATTTTGGCCCCTCCCAAAATTTTATGAATGCAATTTAGCAGGCCAGCCAAACAGCCGTAATTCTTTATATTTTAAATTTTATATTTTGGATTTTATATTTTAAATTTCATATTTGAGAGATTTGTAATTTAGTCTTGTAAATTTTGAGTGTTCTCATTATTAGTCTGTAACTTTACTCTGCATGTTGATTAGGTCTTCGAAGTAATATGGAGTAAGTCTTTGCAGATTAAGGATCTTTGCACCGGAAAGTACACTTTCTAGCAAAAAAATCGACATTGGTGACATATTTTGTGGTGAATTATCACACTGGAAAGTGGAAAAGTACATAAATTGCAAAACAATTTTAATTTTTTTTTAAAGGAAACTGATTATATTATATTAAGCAAACTTCTCAACGTACTTCTCCTTTACAATGCCAAACCTCCTCAATCAAAGCTCTAAGAGTATTACCCCTTGCAACGCCAAACCTCCTCGTGAGGCTCCGATAGCCCAAAGGCCTTCCACTCTCTGGCTAGACTTAGAATAGATGATGTGTGTTTTCTCGCACTTAAAGTAGTTGTAGAAAAGTGGTTGAAAATACGAGTATCGTCTCCACAGGGACGGACAAAAGGGAATTAACTAAATTCAGCGATTAAAAAGAAATAAATAAAATAAAATGCAATTGTGCGAGATTGGTTGATTGAATAAAATAAAACTAACACTAATGAGCAAATAAAAAGATTGGTTTTTCCTTAATTAACGACGAAGGGAACAGGAATTGATTTCGGGGTTAACCAGATTTCTGACAGAACAGGTCTAATTACATGAATTTAATTTAATTGAGCCTAGCTAATCATTACTAAGTTATTACCGCTCTCGCGGCGTAGAGTACAATAATTTAGGGGACCAGGGGACCAGGCTGATCTCTCATGCGACAGGATCCTAAATTATTGCCAAGACGAGCGAGCTTACGGCCCCTTAATCGCTACTAATCTCTTAGCGAACTATTAAATGTGTGTAAATATGTCCTAGAATAAATTAGATCTCTCTTCATTTATTCTACAAGCAATTGTAATTCTAGTCGCGATTCTAGGTTACAAAAGATATCAGTTAAATTATTCAAACACAAATTAAACAACATTCATGCAATTAAACCGAAGAGAATCAAGCCATCAATCATGATTAACCCCTTCATCAACCTCAAATCCCTAATTAAACTACTCACGCCTCATAATTGACGAATCAACAGAATTGGGATGAATAGAATAAATTGTCATTAATTAAAAGAATTGAACTTACAAAGAATCTCAGGTTCTCGAAGTAAACAACATAAAAACGCAGGTAAAACTTGTCCTAGGCCTCTCCACAAAGTTCGTAACCCTCAAAAAGGGGTATGGAGGCCTTATTTATAGAAAACAGGAGAATTTGAGCTGAAATAGGAAAAAATGGGGTCAGGCACAACGCCAGGCACGATCGTGCCTGGGACCGTGCCTGCAGAGCATGCGCGCGTCTCGATTGCAGGCACGCTCGTGTTTGGCCAGGACATGATCGTGCCTGGCTGGCAGTAGCTCTGCGTGCCATCTTCTTCCAGGCACGGTCGTGTCTGGGCTTTTCTTCATCGTTTTTCTTCGTTTCTTGCTCCAAATGCTCCCGGATGCCTACGAGGTCGATCCAAATGCTCTTTCTTCATCAGAATTTCGTCGTGAATCTCCCGGTGACCTCCAAATCTCTCAAATCTTCTTCGAACGCCTTCAAATTCTTCCTGAATGCCTCTCTAAAATTGAGACTTGCAACGCCTTAAAGCCAGGAAAACCGTCAAAATCCAACTCCAACACGCATCAAATGCGTGTTTAAATACGGACTTTTCAATAGACCACCCCGGAAAGAACGAGACTATTTGCGAACCATGTGAGAGTTTCGAAGCTTTTAACAGTCAAACAAGTCTTATCGCTTCCACCAACATTAACCTCCCAAACCAAGCAAGACAAAACAAACACCAATCTACAACTATAGTTCAAACAATGTTTGACCTAAACATACCAAAATAGAAATAATAAATCAGACTGGACTAAAAATAATAAAAATTAGCTAGTAAAACACTCTTGCAAACCCTATCCACACGGTTTCTCCATGGCGGCGGTTCAGGAGGGGAACGAATCATCGACTCTTCGTCTTGTTTCTCCCTTTCCCGAATCTTAATTTCTCCGTGCTAGCTCTGCCAAAGCACCCACGTCAGCCGCCCTCCCAATTGTTTGGATTCCAAAACAATCCCTTTCTCCAAGCCTGAACCTATCAATGTACCACCCGAATAAAAAACCACTGGTGTAGCTTCTATCTCAATGACCAACAAGGTCAGGATAACTCAACCCAGCATCGGAGTGTCATACCTCGCAGCCTTATTGGTCGCAGATCCGCGACCTCCTCCAGAATCTATGATCGCGTTTGACATCTGGCTCGTACAAAACTCGCCTCCTTCACTCCCAAACTCAGTACACCCCCTCGACACTCCCTTGCACCACCGCCTGAAGCAGATACGGGCACAAAAAACAGATCGTCGCACCAAGCCGAACCTAGACTCAACGTTGATCAATCCCTGTTGCGCTAATGTCCTTGCTGCCGACGGAAAGAAACTGATTGCGGACGAAGCCTCGCAATCAGAGATTGAAGTCTGAGCTGCCGCACCCAACCCTAGGACGAAGCCTAGCCTACTCAATAGCTCCCAACCCTTCTATTTTTTTTTAGTTCCTCGACGTAGTTTAGTTAAAAAAAAACATTTCAGTAAATTGCAAAACAATATTAATTAAATGACCAAATTTACGAGCAAATGAAATATAGATAGTATAAAGACTAAAACCGGACACAGTAAATTTACTGAACCAAAATTGAAAATTTTCCTTTACATTTTAATACGTGTACTATATCCCGCCCCCTTACAGTGAAGTGCCCCTGATCTTTAACTTCAATGTCATAGACTTCCTTTATATTACTATCTAATTGAAACCTTACCATGTACTGAGAGTCTAGACCTTATGCCCTCCTCTCCAAATTTTCTAGGATATCATAAGAGTGGTCTCTCTAGGAAATACTTGCATATTGGCTATTGCACTAATTGTTGATCAAATTGGTATGTTAGATATGTTAGCCTGATTTTCATTTCTGATGGTAATATTATTTGTTATCATTTTTTCCTATTACATCATCAAGCTTTTTCTTAGTACTAGAAAGCATGGATCATGGATGGATCTCACTTGGAGAAGTGTCTATCTGTAACAGACAAATAAGTAGAGAAAAGAGAAATTATTCAGGTTAAGAATTTCTTTGAAATTTTGTAATTACTTCATTTTTATGTTTTTTACCAGGGAGTGAACCTATGTATGCAGATCTTGGTCATTTCATTTCTTTCTGGATGAATCAAGTATAAGCATAGTTTGTTAAGAACTAGGCTAAAGTGTCAAATAGGTAAATGAACTAACTTAAAGTGTTCAATTAGCCTCTTATATAGGAGGTTCTGTCCGGCCGTCGTCAATTGGGGCGGTTCCCAGTTGACTTTTTTGATGAAATTTTTTGAGCATCTTCTTCATCAAGTCGAGTTTACCTATATCAAATTTCAGCTAAAAATTAAATCGGGAAGGCAGTCAATTGATTTTACTAAATGTATTGCGTTGTTTAACTGCGCATTTATCTTCAAAAAATCATTTGACTGCCTTCCCTGTTGAATTTTTAGCTGAAATTTGGTATGGGTAAACTAGACTTAATGAAGAAGTTGCTAAAAAATTTCATCAAAAAATTCCACCGGGAACCGCCCCAATTGGCGACGGCCGAGCAGAACCTCCTATATAAGGGGCTAATTGAACACTTTAAGTTAGTTCATGTACCTATTTGACCCTTTAGCCTAACAACTATGAAAGAACGAGTTTTTGTTCTTGAGAGTTGGGGTTTGAATTCTTAAACCCCCACTTCTGTTGCACACATTTTTTAAACAAATGAATTTTGATTTCTTCAAAGAAAAAGGAATGGTAATCCTTTTTTGTCTACAGTTGAAGGAAAGATTATAAAAGAGGTGTTTTAATAGGAACCCGTAGATGAACGTAGTAATGAAGATTATTATATTGATGAATGTATAAAAAGAGTAAAGGGTCAGGTCCTCGAAGTTGCAAAAAATGGGTCAAATAAGTCCTTTATAGAAGATTCTGTCCGGACGTGCCATTTGAGGTGGCTCCCGGTAGAAGTTTTTGATGAATTTTTTTGAGCATCTTATTCTTTAAGTCTAGTTTACTCATACCAAATTTCAGCTAAAAATTCAATCGGGGAGACATTCAAATGAATTCTTGAAGATAATTGCGCTTTTAACGACACAGTTATCTTCAAGAATTCATTTGAATGTCTTCCCGATTGAATTTTTATCTGAAATTTGGTATGAGTAAACTAGACTTAATGAATAAGATGCTCAAAAAATTTAATTAAAAAATTCCACCGGGAGCCACCTCAAATGGCACGTCCGGACAGAATTTTCTATATAAGGACTTATTTGACCCCTTTTTTGCAACTTCGAGGACCAAACTGACCCTTATCCCGTATAAAAAGTTAACCAATCGTTTATTAAATGTAATAATTTGTCATTTCATAGAGTTAGCATAATTCATTGTATTTTCTGAGTTTTTCGATCTGAAATTTATTGCGTTCAAATTTAGTTTGATACACCCAATATATATCTTGTATTCTGATGCATGTGAGTTCATCGATTTGGGTTAAATGAATGCTCTTTTACTAACCAGTTCATTTTTCCTTCTGTTTCGTTATGTTTGCACTTGTATCCTTATTTATTGATACAATGCATGAATTCTCCTT